GGGGGAAGCATTCTGAAAATTGTTTCACTACAAGGACCGTAGGATAAAGGCCATTATAGGCGAGGTCTTGTCTGCACAGGGTCCGATCGCACTCCTTAATTTCCCACGAATTTGTTATAAACATAAACTGGCAGGCTTTCGAAACATTGGCACAGCGTTTGACCAATAAATGAACTTCCTCAAGGTGATTTTATTTGATGTCACAAATTATATTAGTTAACAATGGCTGCGAATATGTAAAAATCCGAGAATTGCTAGGTTTTGTTTTAAAACTGCTGAAAGTTACAACACACCTCAAAACTTCAGACGCAAAATGCCAGCAAGGATATCAATCACAACAAGTACAACAGGGAAACAAAACAATAATGTGTAGGTCAATCATTAAATGAAACTTTATACTACTCTTTCTCCAGAATCTAAGTTCGCACTATCTTCTTTTCGAAACTACCCATGAGAAAGAAATGCTTAATAAAAGCATAATTAATTTAATTATTGAGCAAATACAATTTCAGTATTACCTGACACCCGTTTAAAGTCTGGCAGACCGGTTCTTTCGTTCCTGTGTTTGTTGTCTGTTTTGCTTGTCTGCTTTTTAGAATAAAATCGAGACCAAAACGGGGGAGGAAGACACTATTAGGGGTTATAATGTTTCTGGGAACTATTCGCATTATCAATCGTGAATCCAAGAATTATGCTGAAAAAGAACAATGAGTGGACATTCTGAAGGTATTGTTACTGACATCGACTGACAGTGGTGTTGTTGCTCTGCTGGCTCTGGTCATTCTTCAAACTCCAACACTCCTCCTTGTTCGCACTGTCGACTGTCGGCATCGGTCTATCGTCTTGCTGTCTACCCCTGACTCTTTCACAGTTTTACTTTTACTGCTTTTCAGTAAACAGTTTTCAGTAGCCTACCTGTATGTACGCTAGTACTTTTAATCTTTTCCCCTGTATGCGTGCTCTGTGGGAACCAAGAATCCGGAATGTGTAGACTGAAGATTATAAAGAGTAGGGAGGGGGCCGGCGAAGGGGAGGAGAAAAGGGATCAACTTAATTTTGACTTAAATCTTGAGACTCGCATATGGATTATTGTAAATGGCATGCCTGATCAGAAGAACAGACCTGTGATAGTTGGTCTAACAGGTTGGCTTCCACTCAACTTCCAGTGAACTCGTCTCACGGTAAAGACGTCACATGCCTCCAGTGATCTCGTCAAAATTATCTCGTCACATACTCCAACTTGTGAAAAACGTGTGGCGAGTTCACCGTGGATTGGCAGGAAAACCCACATATATATATATGTCAACCTTTGATTAAGATTACTATTTTTAGAATATAAAACTAGAGTTATATTCAATCAAAATCTCCACATGTCAGCCTTTCTGTTTCAACTTTTTAAAGAGAAAACAGACACATTTTTGGGTGCAATATATAAAACCTCTTTAAAATGTGCATGCCCTTACTGTAGCCTATGCCATAAAACAAATTTAAAATGGTATAAGTTGATTGATGGAGGTAGTGTGACGAGTTCGCTATTATTGGATACTTTTGTTTCGGAGATCTCGCCACATGTTTTTCAGCTGTGTCGACTTCACCTTGTGCATGATGAGTTCACTGGTTCCCCACTGGCTAACCTCTCTAGTCTTTTGCACTCGCCCATAATGTAAGCATTAAGTTGTCAGACCACATTGCTTTTTCCTAGCTCCTGTCCTGAGCACTGAAATCTTAAGTGGAGACCACAGTACATCAAAGTGCAGAATATATATATCCTTGTCTTTCAGGAGACAGTTTGATTTTTGTCTGTAAACTGAAAACCTGTTCTGGCGGTTCTGCAGATTTCGGTATACATGGACTCCACTTTAACCCTGTATCTCGGGGAGGTTGGGGGTAACCCACTATGCTGGGGCCCTGTTTTGGTACAAAATCTAAAATTGACATATATGCCTCTAAACTGGTCATTGAATTTTAAAAAGTGAACCTACTTCGATAATTCTTCATATCTATTAGATTTGTTTTCAGTAATTGCCGAAAAGTAATTTGATGTCAAAGTTGTAGTAAAGGAATTCACTCGAGCCGCTGTCAGCGGCTCACCAGCACAGTGGTTCTGACCACGAGCCGCTGGGAGCGGCTTGCCGGAGATAAAGAGTTAAATAGTTTTATCACAGCATAGAGTGGCAATAATCCAGGAAGCCAAAGAAAAATGTAGACCCCACTCAGATTTGAACTTTCAGTTTCCTTTTATATGAATTCCTTTTGTTTTTTTATTTTCTGTTTGTACAGTAAGAAAGTATATTGTACGGTTCTGTTTTTATGTTTTATATCTATATTATATAATTATTGCTGTTATATTGGACCTCCTCCCAGTGTTGATCATTATCAACATATTTATGTCTCTAAGATACACGTAATGTTTTATCTTGCATTTTCAGAAAAGCTGAATGTGGACATCATTGTGGAATTCCTTGAAGTTGCAATTCATTGCATCCTTTACAACCGGAATTTGTATCCTCAAGGAGTATTTGAGAAAAAGATCAAGTATAATGTTCCTGTCCAAGTGAGTTTAAAAACCTGTTTCTCTCACTCACATTTCCTGGTTTTCAAGTCTAGAATTTGGCTACTAAGCAGAACTCTAAGGTTTCTCTACTGATGGATCAGAGTAACATGTTATTGACAGGCATCTGTGTGTGCTAGCACTTCAATCTCCTTTAAAGTGAAGCTGTCTATACTTCAACTCTTCTCAGGAAATCATGGATGAGAGCTTCATCTTGTGTCAGTTCATTTCTTCCTCTTTTCTTTGTAACTAGTTCTTTTAAAACCATATCCCTCTGTGAGGAGGGTCAAAGAAAGACAGTATGGTGTAATGAATCAGCTTCTAGTACTTTGTTTTCTATATATGACAGTAGCTTTTGGATGAAGTAGCCCAAATTTAAGCAGTCCATTTTAAAGTAAAAGTGAAAGGGAAAAGAAAGAAAATATGAACAGAACATCATAAATCATAACTGTTAATGGTAAATAATCAATAACATATATATATATATATATATATATATATATATATATATATATAGTTCATAGATATTCATTTTTTGACTATTCTATATGATGTTTTACTGTTTTGCAAGGTTTGAAAGGTTTGAATATGTGTGTGTTCACTTGAGTATATATGAACTCATTTGTTTGTCTATATATATATTTTCGACTACAGTGGAGTTGCACTTCTAGCTGGTGAGCCATGAATCTCGTTTGAAGGGATTGAAATCTTAATGGCTTCATTTTCTTTTCCTAGATGTGTTTGCATCCAGATGTTTGTGCGTACGTGGGCCACATCATCCAGAGCCTGAAACTACTTCTCGCTGAGGGAAAAGTCGAGAAAGTTGCTGTGGTGATTCTTCAGGAAGACACTGGCTTACCTGTGGAAAAATTTGTCTTTGAAGTGAGCGATTTGAAAGAAAAGTGGAGAGAGTAAGTCAAATGAATATTTGTTCAGCCTTTGGTGTATATATATGTCTGAGGCTGTACAGACAGATATTTTTTAAGAAATTGTTGTTTCATGGTCTGACACACACACTTTAACCTGTTACTTATGGGGTAATGTGGTTCTTCAGAAATATTTTTAAGACCAAGTAGTAAATTAAAACCTACAATCTTGAGAAAGTTTTGTTCAATCCTTATTATCTTTTAGAAATATATTTATCTATGTCCTAGGGGAAAAAAACAGAGAAAGGGGAGGGGGGGGGGGGAGGGGCTGTTATATTACGATACTGAGGTTTCTTAGAAATTTCAGGGATGCAGTCTACACACAGAGTTCTTGGTTTTTTAATCTTCCCATGCGAAACATGCCCAGCCTTGACTTGCATGTGTGGAGAGGGGGGGGGGGAAGCAATGTCAATATTAATTTTTTTTTACCCATAGGCCTACTTAAGCTCTCGTTAGCCTGGGGTATTGTACAGCACAAGAATGGGTAGAGATGTCTGAATTTTGATTTAAAGTAAGAGTTTTAATTTTAAGGCACTTGCAACACAAAAAGGTCATATTTGTGCTGAAGATTATATAAATGTTTAATGGGAAAGAGAGAGTTACCCATACAAGGGCACCTGCCACCTATCCAACAGAGAGATGTCTGTCTGAGTCGAGTAGAGAAGCATCACATGGGGGAAAGGAAAGAAAGTTGTCTCCCTGGAAGGAAAAAATGGGAGAATGAAAGAAAGTTATTTCCCTGGAAACAAACTAGATGAGGTGAAGATGATTGAACACCACAGGGGGAAAACTGCCATAGTCACAAATTAGAAATTGTGAGGGTGCCAATTTTAAAAGCCTGTGGACTCATAACTTCATATTTATATAACTGGTGGTTTATTGTGTTATGTTTGTTAAATGAGAAATCAAAAAACAATAATCCACCATCAGTTGAACAGAAATACAATTATGAGTCAACAAGCATTCAAAGATGATACCCCCACGATTTTCCGTTTGTGATTGTGGTTGTTTTCCCCCCTGTGTTCTTCGTTTCTTTTCGAAGAAAGTGTACAATTTATTTAGATAGTTCGTCTGACTTGGTCATTTGTACTACTACTCTGCTGTCTCCTCACACCAGGACTGACCCGCATCTATTCCGAGTAGAGCAGGCGCTACGTGGCTTCCTCTTGAAACTGAACGTCAGCGATGGCTTGCTGATGACGTCCTCTACAGGTGGGTTTGGTTTTTATTTTTAAAATTTTTTTGTTTTTTTGGTACCCTGGCCAATTGTGTCATCTGGCACTTTTGTGTTTGGTAATAACAACCAACTGTGCAGCATTTTGGGTTTTGAAATTAGCTGTTAGTCTTAGAGTAAACACACAGGAAATTGTTTTACATATATATATATAAATAAATACATAGGAGTAAATAAGTTAAACCAAATAGGTTTCTCCACTCTTAGAAGGTCATTTTAGCAAGTCACTCATTATGTGTTGCCATAGCCCCAACTGGAGATGGCTACCACAACTTACAGGTGGGTATTGATATGAGTCTCGCGACGCGGAGGATTCAGGCACTCGTAAATTATTGGTGTCATTTTAACTTGTTCATTTGCCTTGCTTGCGATTTTAAAAGAATACACATCAATCATGAAAAAAAGTTAAGATATTTGCAATTGAAGGAGGTATGGGTCGCCTGGTTTCAGAAATGTTATTTGTGCCTTAAATGAACGCTTTTCTGTAAGATCCACATGTAAATTTTTCGTTTTCATTATTTTGACGTGCGCCTGATTTCAACTGGATGCCTCACATGTTTTTTTTTTCATAATTTGTTATGTCGAAGAGATTGCTGTGCTCATGTTTCAAATATTAAGCTTCTGTCACAATTCATTAAACAACGGTTTTTGTCCAGTTGTTGTAATAAAGTTGTATGTGAGAAGATTTTTTTTTTACATAACTAGGAATTTGATTGTTTTATAATTATGTAAAAACTGTATTTAATGAATGATTAAACTCAACAAAGTACAGTAAATTAAAATTTTCTTTCTTAAGTTTTATTTTTCCACTGAGGGTATCTTTTTTTTTTGTATAGTAAAGAATGTCTTGGGCTTGCATCGTTTTGGAAAGTCAAATTGTATCCCTGTCTTCAATCTGTCAAACAAGGTTTTCAAAGATGCTAAAAATATTTCAAAACGGGTAGACTACTCTTTATGTTGAGATAATAATAATAATAATATATAACATTTATTTAGCGCATTTCCAAAAAAGTAGCTCAATGCGCTTTACATCGGAATACCCATTTTTCAAAATCCTTTCTTCTTATGCAATATATACATTAATGCACACACACACACACACACACACACACACACACACACACACACACACACACTCACACACACACACTCACACACACACACACTCACACACACACTCACACACACACTCACACACACACACACTCACACACACACACACACTCACACACACACACACACACTCACACACACACACACACACACACACACTCACACACACACTCACACACACACACACTCACACACACACACACACTCACACACACACACACTCACACACACACACAGACTCACACACACACACACACACACACACAGACTGTTTTCATCCAGACATAGGAACAGAACAACTATAATGAAAAATATTTCAAGACACATAACATTGAAACCGAATACTTTCCCAATCTAGTATGTACACATGTGTGTTTACGGGGTACATGTGTGAGATTCTGATGGATTTATGGCTGTCTGAAGTGCTGAACATCTAGAACATTTTAAATTACCACATGTTACTCTTGAAATAGTTTTTATAGTGATGATAGTATTATCTTATCGTGGAAGGAAAAGAAATCAAATGAAGTAGTGCTTGATGAAGCCCACGTGGGACGCTCAATGTTAAAAACAATCAGGAAACGACAAATGCAGTTTTTGGGACACCTGAATAGACATAAGGGTCTTGAACATCTAGCTCTCACTGGCAAAATTGAAGGCAAGCGAGGCAGGGGTAGGCTCAGAACAACATACTTAGGGAACCTAAACAAATGGGTAACAGGGAAAAATCAGGGAAACGTAGCTTTTCTGAGAGCATCCGAGCAAAGGAATGAATGGAAAATCATGATCGCCAATGTCTGTTGCAGATCTGGCACTGGATGATGATGATGATGATGATAGTATTATCAAATCTTTATGTGTTATCTTTGGAACAAGATTTTTTTCCCTGAGTTTAGCCAACCTCTTAGATTACTTAGAATGTGTATATCATTATTGTTACAAGTTTTGCCAACTTCTCATACTGTTTGTTCTTGTTGATATAACATTCTATCCCAGATTTCAACATGTATGTTTGTGGGTGGTTGGAGGGTGCTCTGGTGTGGTTTGCTTCTTCTTTCCTATCGAACATCTATCGTCCTTATCTCTCCTCCTTCTTTTTTTGTGTTTGTTACTCTCTTGTAACACCTCTAATCTTCGGCACTTATATGACCTTGTTGTGTTGCAAGTGCCGTAAAACACTTGCTAAAACTAAACAACTTGTATGTTCTATTACCTAATGCAGTTGCGAGCGCCGTAAAACCTCTACTAAAACAAACAAACAACATGTATGTTCTCATTTTAAGATATTTGCCCAAATGACTTCACTTATTTTTCATATATATTGTTTCAGCTACTACATGGACCATCCATGCCCACACAAAAGATTCCACGTTATCGTCTGCTGAGGAGAAGCTGATCCAAATGGTGGGTTGGTGAAAATTAAAGTGTTCATAATGTTAAATAATGGCCACTGGTTGGTAGTTGCAGACGTTGTTCTTTAACTCCTTATCTCCGGCAAGTCACTCCAAGATGCTGTCAGGCGTGAGCCACTGGCAGCCACTCAGTAACATTCCTTTACGACGAGTTTGGCATCAAATTAGTTTTCGGGGGTTACCAAAAACATGTCTCTTTTATCTGGAGCTCTTTCATTAGATATAAAGAACTATCAAAACAGGTTCATTTGTGTCTGCTGGGACATTTCAGTTACCCATTTTCAACACTTTTTAAGGACCCGCGGGCGAGTGTTGAGTTCCTTTGTGCTGTCGGCATCGCTGACCATTTATGACGCCTCTGCGCCAGAAGAGAGAGAGAGAGTAGAGAGAGAGAGAGAGAGAGGTTCACTTGTAATAGTAAGAAAGGAGTAGCCTCCCCTTTTTTATTCTTTTCATTGGCACTTTGCCTTCTGTAAAATGTGCATGGAATGACTACGTTTTCTTGTCCCATGAAGTTTTGGGTTTTACTGTATTTATATATATTTCAATTTTATCTGTGTGTATGGCTGGTTATATTGCGTTTAAATTTAGTGGATGTATTTGCTGTTTGTTCAAATTTTGCACTCTTCTCAGATTTTTTTTTTCTCTCTCCCTGTGTGTGTGTGTGTGTGTGTGTATCTGTGTGCATGTGTATCTGTGTGCATGTGTGTGCATGCACTTGTGTGTGTGTGAGTGTGTGTGTGTGTGTTTGTAAGCGTGTGTGTGTGTGCGCGCGAATGTATGTGTGAGGGTTTGTGCGGACGGGCCTACCATGTGTGTGTGTAATAAGGAATGAATGGGTGTGTAGCGTTTTATTTTTCTCTTCTCACAGGATTTCCCTTGGACAGAAGCGGATGAGCAACAACAAAAAATTCCCAATGCTAAAATAATTCCGGTGAAAAGTGTGTCCACGGATATATTTGATGTAAGTTCACCTCCAAGCCGAATTTCTCTATGTCTTCTCATGTGTCCAGTTGTATTGATTTAATGGAAACTCTCTTTTTTTTTTCCTTTTTTTTTTGTGTGCTCTTTGTTACAAACTTTTTCTCCAGTACATTCTCATACCACTTAAGTATCAGACTGAGAGAAGTTCATACGAGTATGAGTCGCAACGATGTGGATTCAGGCGGTCATCAATTTTTGAGCACATGGAGTTATTGTCTATGAAGATGAGAGAGAAGAACGTGTCTAATGCTAATAGTAATTTGTTATAAGTTTTAGATTTACTTCTGTTGTTGGGCCTATCATTTTAATCTTGTCCCTCAAGGTTGTGAAGTACATATAATAAAGGTCTATAACATAATATCAAATTCTAATCAAAATAGGTCTCCTTTACACTCCCACCCACTCTTATATCTATATAAAATTTATCGTTGTATTTTTGGGGGTTATTTTTTAAAGTATTATCTATTGATGCTCTAAAGAATAAAGTAACCGGTGGTGGGGAGGTGAGGGTCTAAACATTAACCCTATCCGTACGCCCTGTGGTCATTTTGTACCCCCTGAGTTGTATTTTTCACATTTTAGAATATTTCTTTTTCAAAGATCTCTTTGAAACTTTCAGTATTTCTCAAAAAATCATCTTGACAGACTGCTGTGCAAAGTGTACGGATCGGATTAACGAGTAAATTTCCTCTGTGGAAAGTGCTGGCCCAGAGTTCCCCACGTCATATGGATACCATAGTAAAACATGATGTACGAACAGAGTCAAAGGATTATTTATTGATGTTCTAAAGAATAAAAGTAATTGGCGGTGGGGAGGGGAGGGGAAGGTCTTAACATAAAAAAGCCACCAACTCTCGGTGTCCGCTTTCTCCACAGATGCAGCTGTATGTTGAGGAGGGCGGAGACCCTTTGTCCTGACCTCTGTCTGGCTGGTGGCCAACACAAACAGTTTCCTGGGGAGTTTCCATGTCGTGGAGAGGCCGGTGCTTCTTCTTACTCCTTGTGAAAACTAATTCTTTACCCACGAACGTTGTATTCATAAGTTTCATTGATCCTGGATGTTATCTTCACCATCGGAAATTAACAATTATGGGAGCAAACAAATCAACAGAAAATAGAACATAAAAGTTTGAAAGAGAAAATGGAAGTGGATTGGACTCACCTTGAGAAAACAGAAAACAGATATTGGTTACCCACCAAGCCTTCAGGTGGAATCCATGAGGAAAGATAAAGAAAGGAAGGCTTAAAAGTACATAAAGGAAGGATGCAGTCAGAACTGAAGGGGGTGAGATACAGCTGAACAGACGTGCAGACAATAGTCCAGGACAGAAGTAAATGAAGAGCTGTTGTTAGTGGCCTATACTCTGGCACAAGGTGAGAAATCCTGATGATAATTATGCGGCTGATGGACATTATCTTTCCCACTCCTACGTGTCGGATTGTAATGTAAACAGCAGAAAGCTGAGAACCTGTCCAGCAAAACTTGGCCAAAAATTTATCAAAAGTTTCATAAGCTGAGCTCTGATCATCAACCTCAAATGACCTGTCGACAGCCTGTGTAGATCTACTTAGAATAAGTATTTTAAAAATATTTTTTAACTTATGAGACAAAAACCAAGCTTGAATTTGAATTTAAGTGAGCCAAATTTTTTTCATTGTGAGAACAGAAAATGTTTTGAATTCATGAAGTCATCAGGAAGGAAAAGTCTTAAACAGGCCAAAGATTGCTTACATTTTCTGACAAATTGTTGGTCTATTTTAGTAGTAGACCTACATGGTGTGTTGGGAAAGGTTCAGTAGCCTTTAGCTTTGACACAGCAGTAGTTTAATCTTCTTCTGTGTCATAAATGAGCCCAGGCCCTACACGACATGTGTTTTTGTGTATTTCTTTTATGATTTCTGTTAAAATGTCAAATTAGACATTGTTTGCATTGATGAAATATACCTGCTATAATGATTCCATAGAATTATGTCTTGGGGGTCTGTATTTCTTTATTTCGTCCCTTCCCTTTTGACACAACTGGCGCGTGTAATGTAGTGATTAGGCACTTTGCCATCACATGCAGCAGATGTGAGGTCGATTCCCATATGGGGAGAATTTTTATTGAGTATCTGGGTCTTGGATAAAACAAAAGTTCTTCGAATGAATGCAACCGACGTTCCTATCACACTGCAAGGGACACCATTGGCGGATGTTGAATCCTTCGCCTACCTGGGAAGTGTCATCAACAAGGCAGGGGGAACAGACGAAGACATCAAGGTCAGAATCCAAAAGGAAAGAACAGCATTCATCATCCTCAGGAATGTATGGATGGCTAAGGAACTGGGATTGAACACTAAGCTGAGGTTCTTCAAAACAAAAGTGAAGACTGTTCTACTGTATGGTTCAGAGACATGGAGGCTCACAGCATCAGCAGCAGGGAAACTGCAGAGCTTCATAAATGGATGTCTAAGAAGGATAGTTGGGATCAAGTCGTACGATCGAGTCACTAATGCTCAACTGTGAGAGAGAACAAGTCAAAGGCCAGTAAAGGAAGACATACAAGTGAAGAAATGGAAATGGATTGGACATACCCTGAAGAGACCCCCGACAAGCATCATCAGACACGCTTTGACGTGGAATCCACAAAGAAAGCGTAAGAAAGGAAGGCCAAAGATGACATGGAGGCGAGCTGTACAAGCGGAAATGGAAGAGGCGGGGACATCATGGAAGCAGCTAGAAAAGGATGCTTAGGACAGGCTTCACTGGAGAAATGTTGTTGATGGCCTATGCTCCACTGGGAGTTAAAAAGGGCAAGAGAGAGATCTGGGTCTTTCTTTCTGCTGGGGCGTTGTATCCCTTTCAGCCCAGGTTGGCCCTGACAGGCATGGTCGAAGCCTGCTTCCTTCGTGATCTAAATAGTGTCAATAGGGGAGTGAAAGCATCGACATTTAATTCAAATAATTTTTTTTTTTACATATATATAATATAATTTGATGACACTGGTGATTGATGGAAAATTGAGAGTGTGTCATTTTGTTTGCGAGGAGAGGTAAGCGATGATGAAGATTGAAGAAAGCCCTCAAGGGTTGTAAAGAGCAGGGAGAGAGAAAGTGAGGGGAGGATGGAAGAGAGGGAGAAAGAGATGGAGAATGAATCACATTACTGGTACCGGTATCCCATTGTATATTATATTGTGCCTTTATATTTTTTCTAAATATGGAGAACAGAAACAAATCAAAGAGTGATGCTAAGAATTGAAACTCTGTACCGGTAATACAAAGTGAGAGATCATAACTCTGTAAATTGTAAATTTATTTTATCACAAGAATGCCCTGCACTGGGTGAGAAATCTTGAGTAAATTATGAATTATATTACGCTGACACACATCACTATGCATTGAAACTGAAGTACATGTATTGGTTGGACTCTTCTTGTAAAAAAAGCGGTCCTTTTAAAACTTTTTTTTTTTGGCGCCACACTTTTTCTTCTTATTACTATTACATGATCCAACAACCGTACATAACCATATAGTTCACTCTTCTCTTTGAGCCCATTAAAAAAGTGTTCTCAAAATTTGGTGGCGCCCTCTTCGAACAAGTGTGGACTTTGCGATGGGAGTTCCCCTACTTGTGTGAGAAACAATAAAAGTGAAACTGACAAACTGTACTATTCCTATTCTTCTGGAGAAACGAAAGTGAGCTTCAAAACGAAGACTGCAGCGCCATCTGAACCAATGCGCGGACTTCCATGGACACTTTTTTTTGCAGAGTTAACTATCTTGTTATGTTGTACGATCTTTTCTATTAGTCTTATTCCTGCTGATGGCTGTTCATAGGACAGCTTAGTGTGTATTGTCAAGCACAGTGGAATCGGCACTGTTAAATCTGAGGGACTGCCAGATTTTCTTTAATTAATCCGAGTTTTCATTTTACAGTTTAGAGAGGTTGCTCACATTTTATAAAAGAAGAACCAAAAAATCAGGGATTTAATTTTGTTTTTGGTTTACCGCTGTTTTTGGATTATTATATAAAATAATGGTTTTTAAATTAAGCAGACTCCACTGTAGTAGACACTAATGCTAGTCTAATGCTCTGTACTGGGAACCCCCACAACAGGTCATCCTTTTGTGGAATGAAATTTACATTATTATCTTATATACCTGTTGGTCATCACATAAAAATGTTTTCTTTAAAGTCACATCCACCTAAGTAAGTTCACATAAAATGAAACTTCTTGTTATTGGTATTGGCCAGGATTTGAGCATGTGTGCACTGTGCCAGAGGACTTTTAAAAATATTTACTGAAAGGTTTTCCTCCAAGCCTTCTGTTTTTTACGAGATAAGCTTTGTGTATGGTCACGTATTTGTGTGTAATTATAGGGTGTAGCATTCACACAAAAGCTCACTTCAAAATCGAATAATTTTTATATACCTTCCCGGTGGAGGGCCAGATAAAGATAATTAATTATCATTATTATTTATTACAAGTGTGTATATACTGTACTTCTACTATTAGCTAAGATGTGATCTGTTTTATAGGTGAAAAACAGTGAACGTAGAAGATATCAGGTGGGTCACATTTGTACAAATGTACTTTTGTAGTCTAATTTGCGCATATTTTACAGATGTCTCTGGGTGAGTTTTGAAGACACAGATCTAGAGAGACATATATTTTCTTTGAGATACTTTGTCATGTTATCTTCATCATGCATTGCAGTCTCTCAGAATAGCTCAATTCAGCGCCATTTATGAAGCAAATGACTTCAGTTCGAATACCCAACAGGATGGTCTTGGACTGTCGTTCTTGATAAGCGAGTTTTCAATTTGGAGGTGGACATAATTAAACTGGATGTCTTATCTTTTAATCAACCCTAGTTATTTAAATAGCTTTGAATTATTGGGTGTTACCATACGTACCACAGTGTGATGAACAATGGAATATCATTTAATTCATTAAATATGTACAGCTCTTGATTAAATTTGCTTTTGACACATTTATGACAACCTGTTGTTCCGGTTTCCCAGTTGGGATGAGTTTTTGTTTTTTTCCATACAAATTATTTTTGTTCAATGAAATGTTCTTTACTGTGTGAATCCCCAGTGACTTTGCACTTTTCTTCACCTACATTACGCGACCTCAGTGTTTTCTTGTCGTATTTCCATTTTTAATAACTGAAAACAGTTAATAACAAAGAGTGAACTTAAGAAGAACTGTTAAAAAATGGAGATGCGACAAGAAAGCACTGAGTCGTGGTTAGCTGTCCATGGCTCCCAATGGACTCCCACAATACTGCCGTAAGCTGACAAAACGCCTTTTTTCCCCATTTTGGCGCTAACATTTTTTTTTGCTAAATCGAAAGCCTCATCAGTTACCCTACTACTACTTGTGTGAAAAAATCAAAGTGAAACTGTGACTAGTTTTTGAATAAATTTGAATTCGAATTCCGGAAGACCTTTATTTTTCGATGCTTACGCTAACATAAAAACTGTTTTTCTCCAAACTGCTGTAAATTTTTAAAAAGGTGTTTTGTCAGCTTATGACTTACGGCAGAATTTCACTCAGCGATTTTACAAACTTCAGATTTTTCCTTCATCTTTGTAGTTAACTGTAGGTTCAACCTTTTTAAATGAAGCAGGTGGAAAGGAAGGATGGTGTCACTACTAGTTAGTATGCCTAGGTCTACTCTTACTTCCTTTCTGTACGGTAGCCTACTTTGTGGCTATTTTCAGACCCATTTTTTTTTTTCTTCACCAGCTCTGTAGAAACATTTATTTATATCGTAATCGCTACCCCAGAATTACAGAATTACAAAGTTTTTAAAAATCAGCTCAGTACCTAGTTTTAAGATTTGACATTAAGAAATTGAGTTTTACAATATGTCAAGCTTTTTTTTATAATGCAATTCTTTGAACATCTTGATAACAACTCTAAATAGTCTTATGATTTTGATAGAGCAGATAGAACATGATTTCTGGCCTCAAGGTTTTAGTAACTCAAATCGGCCAAAAATGTCAGATAGAACTTCGTAATTCTGAGGTAACGTAATGGCAATGTATGTATATACAATGGATTTCACTTGAACAGAACTTGGTTAGATTCTTATCCGAAAACAGGAAAAACCGAAAGAAAAGAAAATGAAAATCTCTCCTTTTTTCTCTCTTCATTTTGAGAAACTTTTCTAAACTGGAGTAAATCCAGCTGCTCCATAGATTACAGTTACGTTACAGTTTATTAAGAGGACTCAACTGTATCTTTTTTTACTTTATCTCCGACAAAGTTCGCTACGATCCTGGTTTGGGTTGACACTTTCTGGTTGTACCATAGTTACTTAACACTTCTAGCCCAATGCGCATATATTTTCAGCAGCGCTTGTACCCCCCGCGATCCCAAGAGCGTAGATCTGTATTCTGTTTCTGGGGGTACTGAATTTGTGCATTTTTCTAAATTAATTAGTGAACCTAAAGAAACTTTAATTTTCCAAGTTCATTTATCTTACATTGTTATATGGTTGTTTTTTTTATATCTAGATCTAAACCTCATTACAAAGGTACTTCATCACTTTTTCAGAATGCATGCCTCTTTTTCTGAAATACTGCTGTATTGGCTGGGACTGGGGTTAGGGAGTGCACAAAAATGGCTGGGGCTGGAAGGGTTAATAAGTTTTACTGTTTCTTCTTCAACTGTTTGCACTGTAGTGCTGAGGGGTTTTCTTCTCCCACTATGTCACTTCAATTTCTTCAAACGAGTAGGTAGATGAAAGCTTTCACCGTTTTGCCAATTTTTCACCGTCCATAATATATGTGGATGTTTGGTTTATATATATATTTTGATATTATTCTTCAAAATGAAGACTTCTGCCGAGATGAAACTAAGCAATAAAATAATTATTGAAAAAACAAGGAGACTTGTTTGTTTGTTTTTGTTCCAGCCCGTTTCAATGTTGTACTTTTTTTGTTCAAACTGTCCCTGTGGTTTTATGCAAAAAAAATTCTGAAATTATGCAAACTGAGCCCAAAAATGTGAAATTATGTGATTCTGTTAATTTTATCAAAGCAAAATGATCAGAAATTATGCAAAAAATGATCAAATTTTGCTAAATTATGTGGGGTGCATAAAACCACAGAACAGTTCAAAGTAAAAATGAAAGAATAGGCCTATAGCTGAATTTTACAAATAACATCTGCCTCCCCAACCAAACCTCAAAATGAAATAGGGCCTAACATAAAATATGTACAGTACTTGAGGTGGACCTACATTTGGCTAGTTGTTGCAAATGGATGTACATGCATGTATTTCCTCTCCTCCCCATGCCCTGATGTGCTCCAACTTTGAAATCATATTCTGGGTTAGGTACGTGATTTAATTGTGGGAGATGATTTTTACGTCCCCATTAATACAAATTAGATTAGGTCATCTAATAGAAGACGGACTTCCAACTGTGCCTGTCAGGGCCAACCTAGTGTGAGAAGGATACAACATCTCGGCAGAAAGACTGAGATACATTGCATTCAATATATACATACATTTCTCCCAACTTGGGTCTCCTGCGTGCACCTCAGACGCTAGTAGTAAGGGATCCAACAACATTGTTGAGACCAGAAAAAAATGTCTTTTTAGAGTGTTGTTATTAAGGACAGGCAACCAAAAACATTGCTAACGATATAAGAAAAAAATCGGGACCTGGGCACCATTTCGCTATACACAGGATGTCGTTATATCGAAGGTTGTTATATATAGAGAGGCTGCACTGAACGGAATTTTAAAAATTAAAAAATTGTAGATCTAGTTGATGATTTTACACCCCCATCAACACAAGTTAGGTTAGTAGTAATAGTAATAGTAGACGTGCTTCCAACCATGCCTGTCAGGGCCAACCTAGCCTGAGACTGAGAGGGAATATAATATATACATCTCAGCAGAAAGATAGATTGACTTCAGATACACTACATTCGATATATTTCTCCCAACTTGGGTCTCCTACGTGCACCACAGACACTAGTAGAGAGGGATTCAAGCAGCACAAAAAGAAAGAAAGGCCAAAGATGATCTTATCATTGGAGAGAAAAATGAAGACAAACAGTGTTGAATATGTCTACTTGAGTTTTTAATTTATGTAACACTCTTCCATGAATGTAACAAAATATTGCAACATGAAATGAATAGCAGCATATATATGGTACCGGTTCATGCCTTTTTGAAAATGCCAAAAAGTTTGATTAGATTTAAGCAGTATAAGTTAAATAAGTATAAGAGACACTTGTATACTTGGCAGTCAATTCACTGAGGAAAAGGAAGACTCTGGTCCTTAACCTCAACTGTACTAGTACTAGTAGGGCCTACTAGGTCAAAAGAGAGAAACTGTTCTGAGATCCCATTGAAACAGATAAGATCATTTACGAGACAGGCTACTTCAGTTCCACCTGTCCAAGCTAACCAGACTATGTGGGGTACATCTCAATAATCTTGGCAGCTGACCAGCAGAGAACTTCAATCAATCATTCAATGAAATATTCTTACAATAAACCATCTTGGAAACAAACTCATGTCTAGTGAATGCAGGGCAAAAAAGTCTAACCACTTCACTGAAGAACGGGTCAAAAGAATATAAGGAGATATTGTATCAACTTTTGAGTGGTCACCCCCTGGTTACACCAAGGGCATCCGTGGTAGACTAGATTATTTTGATTCACCTCTCCAAAATACAAGGGGCCGGGTGACGAAGCATTGACTAATGAGCTGGTGTGGCATGACATTGTCTCAAAAGTCTCCTTCATGTACTGTGGTGTGATTATCACATCTTCAAAGGACTAAAGGGTGACGTCTCATCAACTGTTGAGCTGGTATGGCCGGAGGCTTCGAGGACTTCCTCGGACTGCGTGTGTATCACCTCCTCGATAAACTAAGGGGTGACGTCTCCTCAACTGTTGAGCTGGCTGGCCTTGGAGGCATCTAGGACTTCTTCGGACTGCGTATGTATCACCTCCTCGATAAACTAAAGGGTGACCTCTCATCAACTGTTGAGCTGGTATGCCCCGGAGGCATCGAGGACCTCCTCGGACTGCGTGTGTATCACCTCCTCAATGGTGTCTCCTGCCGTGAGCATCCCCGCGGCATCCTCCTTCATGACGTGCAGCTCAATCACGCCCTCTTTGCCGCCCTGCAGGCTCTGTAGGAGCTCCGAGCTGACCGTCAGCGGCGCCACCGAGTACTCCTTGCTGGACACGCTGATGAACGCCGGGCTCGGGTCTGGCTGGGGCTCGGACGTCACTTCCTGGGCGGTGGAGGACGGGATGAGGGCAAGGTCGTTGTCGGCAGAGACGTTGACCACCAGGTGCTTCATGTATTGGCTCGGGATGGACAGGGCAGGCAGGGAGCTCGTCGCGCAAGATGAGGACGAGGATGAAGACTGCACGGGTGGTGGGGGAGTTGGCGCGGGCTCGGGTGTTTTTATGATCACTGGGGCTATTTTGGGACGCGAGAACGGTTGGAACTTCCGCCGGCGGTTTGAGACTTCTGAAGCATCTGCTTGTTGCTGGAGTGACTTCTTTGCTATGTTGAGAGAGCCGATCGACAGACTTCGTTGGTGGGCTGCAGTGCTGATGGCGTCGGAGGACATGATGCCAAGTTCCTCCAACACGTCTTTGAGTGCTTGTATGGTATCAAGAGCTGTTTGAAGGTCGTTGGTCAGGTCTTCCTGAGAGATCTCGGTCACGTGAGTGACTTTACCGTAGAGCTCGCCGAGAATAGACAGGGCTTCATCTGCCATACCCACCCCTAGACGTGTGAAGACTTGGTCATACACAGCCAGCCTGGTCTGGACAGCTGCATTCTTCGCCAGCTTGCGCAAACCAGAGCCCATGGCTTTGACCCCCGGATCAGACACATTGCTGAGGGCAGGCGGATCACTGCAGTACTCCGACTCAAAGCTTTGGTGAAGAGAGTACTTGCCGTAGAGAGAGGTTAGGGTAGCTGGGGGGTTCTGGAGCGCTGTCACTCTGGCAAATTCGTCACAAGCGCTTGGACCTGGCACATAGAGCAGAGAGCCCTGACCACTTTCCTCCAAAATGACGTCGTCGAGCACAGCCGTCTGTCCCAGCAAGTGATCAAACCGCTGACTGTTAGATGACGCAGACCTGGACTTATTCTCCTCAGCATAATCAGCTACATTGTCTTGCTGCTCAAAGGGGTTCAATTCATACTCATCGAACGGCTCACTTTTGGGGCGAACTCTGTCACCCTCTTTGTCTCTGGCAGACGTATACCCCCTCACAAACGCACTTTCCACGGCGATATCCGGCCCATAGTTCTTGGGCTTCCGACCCCTCTTACTTTTCCTCAAGATGATAGGTGCCACACTGCTGTCGTCCGAGTCCGACTGTAGCAAAGACTGGCGCATCCTCTTGTCCTGCAGAGCCTTCAGGGCTTTCATGCGCTGTCGTACCAGCTGCTTTCTGCGAATGGACAGCTGCTCGGGTCTCATGGATGCGCAGTGGACGCACTCCTTCATGAGCAGGTGGTCCGGCCCCAGACACTGTAGACACAGGCTGTGCCCATCCAGAGGCGACATGTACGACTCGCACTTTGAGCAGCTTTTACCCGCGCTGTCTGCTCCTCTCGGCACTTCTGTCTTCACCTCAGCTGGGAGAGGGGAAGAGGAATCTGCTTTGGCGGTCGGCCCGATTTTATTTAGCGGAAGACCTTTCAGCAGCTCTTGTAAGTCAGTCCCTGTGTGCGTAACGTCCCCCTCGGGTAGAGAGATAGTGACCGTGTACGAGTTCTTGGGCTGGTTCTCTCTTTTTTCTGTTTCCTCCGACACCTCAGACTTTGACCCCTGATTGACGGTGAGCACCACCGAGTCTGAGCTGAGCCCCGCCGCTGCCAGGAGGCCGGATAGTCCACTAGTATCCTCCACGCTAGAGGTCACCTCTCTCTCGGAGCCCGCCTGAGACGACTCAACCACGCTCAAACCATTGTCTGTAGCCCCCAACTGGTCGCCCATCCCCTCCACCATCATGGAAAAACCTGCCGATTCGGTCACCTCCTCCGTTCCCTTCTCTTCCTGTTCACTCTCCGTCTTGACCTTTTTCTCGGGAGTAGAAGAAATTCCCTCCATGTCCTCTTCTACCTCCTCCCCACCCGAGAGAATCTCACCGACCACCTGATGGTCCCCTTGCATCTCCGAGTACGTCCGGCGCTTACGGGGCCCCGTCCTAGGTTCTTCCCTGTCCAGTCCCATCCGGACTCGCTTCATGTGCGAGCGAGCGTTGTGCAAGTCCTTCGGTGTCACACTTCTTCCAATTGCAGTCTTGATCTGTGCCACAGGAACGCCCATCTCCATTAGAGTACCCACCATCTTCTTCTCGTCTTTGCTCATCCTTCGCACCTCCGGGTACGAGTTGTAGATTTCTTCGGTGCATGGGTGTGAGTGCAGATGACAAGAGTCACGGACAATCAAGTAGCCCTCCTTGCGGCACGCGCTGACACTGACAAAAGCCTTGCAGTCAATCTTGTAGCTCCTAAAACAATAGAGGAGAAAAAGAAGAGGATTGATGACTCAAACATTCCATAAATAGGATGACATATTCTTTTAAAATGCATCTCACTAGGCTTCTTATATTTTGCTATTTAAAATCTGTAACTGTTGTGTGTGTGTTTTCTGTGGATCTCTCTACTGTGAATGCATACAATGTATGCAAATATTCACTATAATGAGAAATCCACTGGAAAAACCGGAAGTCACAAACCGGAAATCGTGAGGGTATCAATTTTAAACATTCAATAAGAAAAGAAAAATATGTTCACATTTAGAAGACGCAATGTAGGGCGGGAAAAGATAAAAATAAAAACGACCTAACAACGAGAAAGCACTAGAATCAATAGCCTGTAAATTTGTCATGCCAAATACAAGTACATGTAGTATGATTAGGCAACATGAAAAGCCAAGAAGTAAGGGAATGACCAGTCATATCATGGTTACATATTTTTACAAAATCTAAGTAAGACAAATAAATTCTGTACAGTTGTAACAGTTACAGACACAGTGGAGATGTGCCTTCATTAGAAGCACACTGTATCTTTAGTTCAAACTCTGACAAAAACGAAGCTAGGCTACCTCAATCAATTAAATTTCAACATTCTGTTCATAAATTAAAGCTGTCTTAAGGCTATGGCAATTGCCACTTCTGAGATTTATTCATGTGGACGACAAGTAACTGCAAAAGGAAACTAAGATAAGGTTCTATGCCAATAATTAGGGATATTTCACAGGCGACAAACATAAAAACGGTCAAATTTCAACACATTGACATCACATCAGAGACGTAATGAAATCATGTGACGTTACAGTAACAGGTTTCTCTAATTCTTTCCTGGTGAAAAAAGGGTAAAAAATAAATGTGAGAACATCTGTTCTATCAACTTTTCCCCCTGAAAAACAAAATAATATATAACAGGATCTTAAAATCTAAGAAATTGGGCGAGGGACAAACCTTTGCTTTGGTCTCAACCCAGCACTGAGACTTGTGTAGGATCCGAAGTGTTTACATCGCAGTGTGCATGATGCATACTTCAGACGGTCGTGAAAGAACGGGGGTTTCTTCAAAAGAGAGTTTGCCTGTTCCACAGTTTTGGCGTGACCAATGTTAAACAAGACTTTGTGCTCATTGCAGTGCTCCTCAAGGGCTTGCTTGAATTCCAGCCACGAGTTGTACACTTGACCTGGCTCCATTCGCAGTGCCATAGTTTTTTTTGTCAAGACACAGTCTGAAAGAATAAAGAAACCAAAAACAACGTAAGCTTATATGATGTACACTAAGTAAAGCAAATGATGTACAGTGGTGTCTGCCTAACAACACTCTGCATAAGAACCCAATCCATCTATAAGAGCCCGCTTTTCCATCATTTTTTCTCTACAATTTGCATGCCTATGAACTGGGAACCCATTCTAAAAATTGAAATCCACAGGCTAAGAAGCTGATTTTTGGGCTCAAGGCATTAACATTTTTTGAGCTGCTTTACCATAGCTGCAAGGAAAAAGAGACATATAATAATATGCGAAAGTGAGGTAATTTTTATTTTTTAATGAAGGGGAAAAGAAGTGAGATATCGAGGGGTTGAAGTGAAGGAAGAGGAGTTGACATGAATCTTAAGCAGATGACGAAATCTAAACACTACATGCACACTTACATAAAATGATTTTTATCTAGATACGAATGTGATCTCAACTGTGGGTCAATCGCAAAACGATGCGATATATGGCACTTCACTTGTCTCTTCTCATGCGGTCAAAGCATTTGATTGTCCATTTAATATAGTGTAAAAAAAAGCTGGCCCATTCACAGATATTTTCCTTTCACTAAGAAACTGTAGTCTGTTATCATGTAATATTATTTTAAGTCAACATTTAGCATAGTATAGAGAGACAAAATGTGGTCATGTAGGCCATTAATTAATTTAGTATTTTATATAATACGGGTCGAGTAAGAAGCTCAACTTCAAATTATAAATAATAGCTAGAGGCCTATTAAGGGCTATTGATGATTAAATATATTACAGATATATATAATAACGTAATTTATAATTTACCATAATTTTTTTGTATGGCTAATAGACTAAAAATACAAAATAGGCTAGAGAAATTAAATAGAACAGTGAGAGTGTAGGAGAAATAACGGTGCAATGAATGATGGATGATTGTCAGAGTCAGAGGACTGTCTCAGGTTTTGAGGTGCTCGAATTATGAAGCTTGAAATCTTTTTTCCAGCCACATTACTGTATACAGAACGTCCGCATTTTTTCGTCATTTTTATATGTATTAGTTCAATTGGAATTAGAAAATTCATCTGGCGGCAAATAAACTGTAAAACCCAGCTACGAACAATGTAGCTTTTCGTCGTGCATCGTGTGTGTAGAAAGGATCATTGCAAATTTCGTCCTAAAATGCTCGGATCTCGCCGAGAAGGTATATAAAACACACAAAACTTTAAACATTGAGACGTCTTACTTATTTTGACGGAAGTGTTCAAACGATCAGAATGTTTGAAAACGTCTCAGAACTAATGGAGGTTTACAAAACCAAGCTATTCGTCCATCCATCCACCATTGTTGGCACAACTTATTTTGGAAAATAAGCACTGCACACTGGGCACTGCGCATGCGTCGACTTATAAGTCGCAAACGGTGGTCGTATCAGATTGTACCCCTTTGAATTTTCTCCCGCTTCTTGCGGCGCTATCATTGATGAATACCAAAGAGCATAATTTTGTTTTAAAAAAACAACAACAACTACAACAAAAAGGCAAAGTCGATTTCGGTTTTCTTTTTCTTTTCTTTGGGTTCCCCTGCTAGATTTGAGGGGCTGTCGATTGCTGGTTCTTCAACCTGCAGGGCAACTGATTTTTATGTTGTGACTGCTTTGCCTACTTTATTATAGTAGGGCCCATGCAGTGCCTTCAGGCGGTCACATTTAGATTTCAAAGGCACACTATATAATATTATGTTTTTGAACTGACTAGAGTATTTTAAGTTATGTTATGAATTTTGAGTTTTGCCTTGGTGGCGACCAAAGCCTGCTCTTATTAATTTTAGGACCACCAATGGGATCTTATCAGCGTACGCAAATTCATACACACGGGAGCTCCGACGCCGAGATTTTCCGCCCTTATCCGAGGAGGCCAGCGCGTAATTAGATCTAACCTACCCCAAGATCAGGGGTGTGGCTGAAAGACAGAGGTAAAAAGGAGCCAGGAGTAGCCTCAAAAACAGTCAGGAATAAA